TATTCTGTATATATATTATACATACATATATATATGTAAATAAAAAGGAAGTCAGGCCGCCGCTGTTCTATATATCAGAACAGCCATTGCTCTTCTGTACACCAGATATCTATTAACCCAGGGAAGTCAAGGACCAAAAGAGATATAAAGCCCCACTATTTGTTAGAAGATGTTCCCCGGCTTGCCAGACTCGCAGAAGCACCATGCACCATTTGAGATGTCCTTCAGGGTAGTAGGGGGACCTTCAGCCCTGTCCAGCCGCACCACCAACCTCCAAGGGCCTGTATTTTCCACCTGCAGTGGTATGTGGGAATGACCTTGGGAGACAGGAGGAAGAGCCACAGCCTAGACAATGGTCTGATAAATGAAATCTGAGTCTGAAGGAGGGATGGGGGTGGAGAAAGCAACCCAGAGGGGACCCTTCTTAGTTTTCAGGAGAGTAAAACTGAAGGAAGGGAGGGATTCTTTCAGACTTGCAAGACTGATGTTACCCTTGCGAGGTGGTCCACAGAACAAGCACAACCAGGAGTACGCTCTATTTTTATTGTTAGGTTATATTAACAGAATCTTGCAAGTCTGAAAGCACCTCTCCCATCCCTTACTTTTACTCTCCCAAAAACTAGGAGGATCCCTTCTGAGACACTTTGACCACCCTTCTCTTTCGGACTCAAATTTTGTTTATCAGATCATTGTCTAGAGTGGTGTTTCTCAACCTAGGCCACTTTAAGATGAGTGGGCTTCAACTCCCATGCTGGCTGGGGAATTCTGGGAGTTGAAGTCCACTCATCTTAAAGTGGCCTAGGTTGAGAAACACTGGGCTAGAGTGTGGCTCTTCCTCCTGTCTCCCATGGTCATTCCCACATACCCTTACAGCCCCTGAGCAACACAGCTACCTGCCAAAATCACAAGAAGTCTACCACCTCCACTTGTGCCCAAAGGCATTCCACACTCAAACTAAACCAAGCAGCAGCGAGCAAGACACACCCACACAAAGAATGGATACCTACTTGGAGGCGTGCAGGCCCGCCTGTGAACTTGGACCTGGAAAAAATAAAGGTGTCGAGAATCATCTGAAATGACAGTAGCTAGGGGACAGTTGGTCAGAGCTAACGAAAGAGAGACAGTGAGTGTGTGCGTGCACGTGCCTGGGTGTACGTGTGGTGTGTGCAACGGCATCTTATGTTCCATCTTGCCCCATGCTATCTACTGCCAGTTTTGCTAATGTAGCACCTTCCAGCTGGACTGAGACTACAACTCCCATAGTTCCCAGCCAGCCCAATTGCTGTCAGGATATAACACGGGTAAGAAAGATGTTGCTGAATTATAGCTCTCAATATGTTCCTCACCTCTGGATTAAAGGCCATTTGCCAATACTACAGGCACCCAATTCCATGCCTTCTTAGCCAACAATCTCAGAACATCCTCCCCTCTACAGTTTAGCCAACCCCGGATCTGCCAGACAACTCTCTTAAGCTCCCTTTCCCTTGTCCTCTCCCCACTTAGAAGGCGGAACCCCAACCACCTCTGGAGGAGACACAGGAATTCTCTCCCAGGCCTCAACCCTGACCACTATGTAGATTTTCTACCCATATCTGTAGGGAAGACCAACCGAGACTGTGCCCATGCAAGGGGGAAAGGTGCAGAGATCAAAGCCCAAGAAAATCACAGTTTGTGCAAGACAGAGGAGGAGGAGAAGGAGAAAAAGATAAAAATATGTTTAGTTCAACACTGAAGTTTCAAAAGAAGGCCCACGCTCTTACCAAGCTGCTGCTTGACACACTCGTGCCAGTGGAGGTTCAAGAGGTCAGGGTAAATGTCCGGCAGCTGTTTCAAAGCCAGCAGCTTCAACATCCGAGAAGTACAGCTCTTGAGGTCCAGGTCCCTCAACAGCTTCTCTTCAGACAAGGTGGTAGGACGCAGCTCTACCTTGTGGTCCTGTAAGACATGGTCAACCAACACACCAGAAAGGTTGGGGAACAGTTCCTCTTTCACCACGTGAATAGGGATGAAGGTGGTGCCAGCTCGAATCACGTGAGGAAAGGGGCACCTGTGACTGATCAGGAATGTCTCCAGCTGAGATAGCAGCTTCCTGATAAGCACCGCTACATCCTTAAAGGCCAACCAGATCTCTTTGCCCCTGGAGGGTTTGTGAGCTTCAGAGAGCTTTGGACCATTTTTGGGCTTGGTGGAACTGATCGTCTTCTCCTGCAGCTCCACAGTGGACTCGGCCATCTCCAACCATTCCTTGAGTTGATCAGGGGAGGAGGCAGACACCGAACAAGAAATTATAGTGCAGACAGACGTATGCAAAGCAGTGAAATACTGCCTGGGTGAATGTTGCTGACCAAGAGGTTTTCCAGTGGTGGGATCCAGAACTTGGGCCTCTCTAAGCACAGGAGAGCCAGCAGGGGTGCTAGGTGGCAGGGGCATTGAAGCATCTGGCGGTTTAGCATTAAAGCCTTTGATCTGCAAAATCGGAGTTTCAGATGGAGTTACAGCCTGGGAAAGGTTGGACCCAACCAAGGGGGCATTTTGCTGAGTTATCTGTGTGTCAGAACCTCTTTGGAGAGAGACATCCTTGGCCCCAGAGCCAGCCTCAGCTGCATGAGTTTTAAGGATTTTGAATTTCTTGAACAGAAATGCCGCAGAGCTGTGAAAATGTCCGTTACCCCAAGAACCGCTGTTGACAGGCAGCACCAAGGCCTCTCTGCTTGTCTCTGAGACAGTCTCCTGGCCGTTGGCTGCTCTCTCTCTCGCTTCTTCACCTTTGATCTTTGAACCTCCGCTGTCTGGAGCCTCAAGCTTCTTGGGCAGCTGCTGAAGATCAGGTCCCTCTGCCAAGCTTTCCGTTCTAAAGCTGAGATCTAACACATGGTCTTCTTGGGCAAGTCTCTCAACTCTACCATTGGAACAACTGGTAGGGGATGGCTGGCAAGACACAGGATCATTTGGATTCAAAAGCTTGACCTTGGAGCTTTCCCAAGGCCCAGCATTATCTCCGCTATCTCGTTCTACCTGGACACTATTTTTACCCACGTCAGCATCTCCAGGTTTCGTTATTGCATTGCAGGTGGTTTCTTTCCACCCAGGAAGATCCACCCTAGACTCATTGGTCAATCTTTTAGAGCCTGTCCAAGGCAGACCTTCATCTTCCACACTGTTGCCTCTGCTCCTGGGAGACAGTTCCTCAGCGTGGCAACTTTTAGAGGCATCCAGTTGCACCAAATCGGCAGAACCTTCTAAGTACGCTTGGTATGGAGCCAAGCTGAAAACGTTATTGATAACAGGCATAGGAGGAGAAGAAGTAGTTGAGGAACCTTCACGCTGTTTATGAACTGCCTTTGGTTGTTCCTCTGAGGACCACTGTACATTAGATATACATTGGATGTTAGAAGCCTTGAGAACATTTTTGGGCAGGTCTTGCTTGGAGCAGGGATTGTGGGAGATAACTGGGCTATCGGAAATAACTATGCAGGCTCCTGATTCATCTTTGTGGGTGCTGGTGTTCCTAGATTCAGAGGTTAAGGAGAATTTTTTGTGTGTCTCAGAAGATTCCTCTTCCCTCACCGTCACCTTTTCTGGTGGGCAAAGATCCTTCTTGCAGCCACTTTCCTGTAACTTTCCAACCGTGTTGTAGCAATGAGATAGCCGGTCTACTTGGTAAACAGGATGGAAATCCTGTAGACCAGAAGAATTTGTGCTGGCTTCTTTTGCAATGCGGCTGCTCTCACACCAGTCTGGAAGACTACCTCTGCTGCGCCAAGGATTATAAGCTGGAGGAGCCTTTTCAGGCAGAGCACAGGCAGAAACAGGACTCTTTGGCGCAAAGTCTATTTTGGTCACTGAGTTCTGTGGGTGCTCATGTTCCCTTGAAGAGTGACGCTCAAGGGGGGTCATAGGAGATGGGCCAACAGCCTGGTAAAGATAGCTCTCCAGATGACCAGGATAGTAGCTGCGAGAGGTTTGCTGAAAATACGACCCAGGAAACAGCTGGGCGTCTTCACTGCTTGGAGACCCAAAACCTTTGCAGGCCGCCAAAGTGAAGACCGAGTTTGATTTTTCTGCTTGCATGTAGCTCTGGTGATACAACAACATCTGTTCGTGAGAGGCGAGGGGATAGGATCCCAAGGGGTAGCATGTGGGTGATCTCTCCTGATATGCCAGATCCTGGGGATTCACCAGTAAGCTGGGAGGAGGAGGAGGAGGAGGAGGAGGAAGCCTGGACCACGTGTGTTTGCTGGGGTTGCTACCCGGGGTCTCCGAGACGCTTTTCTGGCATACGGCGGGGGAGCTGGCATCCAGGGAAGAGGCACTCTGAGACCCCTGGCATTTCTCAAATGCCTTATGGTAAGGCAAGAAGCCCGCAGAATGGGCAGTGCCCTCTTTGGGCCCCTGCTGGAACTGGATGACACCAGCATCAGGCACCAAGGCTTTCTTGGGCCCCACTGTGCTGTAACTACGGCTCTTGGTGCCGGTGGGCAAAACCGAGGGAGAGGGAGGCCATTCCAGACGCTTTGAGAGGTTTTCCATCTGCATTCGCAAGGCTAGAGTGCCTTTGGGGGAGTAGCCAGATTCCGCCCCGTAAGGGTGGCTTCGGTAAACTGGTTTGGGGGCTGCCAAGGTGGGGCAAACGGCAGGGGCTGCAGGGAGCTGCTGGGTTGGGTATCCCTGGATCCAGCCTTGCTGAATGACACCTGAGTGACCCATGTAGCTGGCCCACCGCTCTTGGGTGGCACATTCGCTGACCTTCTCAGAGCCCCGGACTCTCTGACGGGCTTCCAAACCTTCAGGTTCTGGCTTGTACGTGGGTTTCTCTGTCCTTGGAGACTGGCCAGGTGCACCTCCTGTGCAATGGCTGTAGGTCTCAGCGGAGGGCCAGTGAGTTAAAGCTTTGGGCCCTTCGTGGCACTGCAGTGGGTAAGTAAAATAGGAGCCTTTGTAACTGTAATGGTCTTCCGTGGTGAGGTCGGGCAGCCCATTCGTCCTGCACAAGCCCACTGGGTGGATGTGGGTTGGCTCCACCTCCAGTCGAGGGAGCTTGCTGTAACTCATGGCACTCACCGCTTCCAAGAGTCGCTTCTCCGCCATTATACACGCTTTCTGGCCACCGGGCTCAGACAGGAAACAGAACGGTCGCTCTGGATGTTCTGAAACAGGAGAAAAGAGAGAGAGAAAAGTCAGCCTTCGAACCTGACCCTGTTATTTATGCAACTGGCCATCAGGAGGAGCACACCTGGTTGACCCATCCCTACATCACGCTCATCCAACTGACTCAATTCAACTGTCTGGGGCTAGTGAAAGGCCCCAGAAAATAGAAGTTTGGAGGATCCCATCACCTTGTTCTTGAAAACTGACCCAGTCACCTTAGGTGACGTGGAAGCCTTGAACAATATCCAGAGGCTGCAACTGGTGTTGGTTCCCCCGTGGACAGTTATGTGCACCCCCCGGATGGCACGTTACACCTCTGCTCTGTGAGTTGCGTTGGCTGCCAGTTTGCTTCCAGGTGGAATTCAAGGTGCTGGTTTTGACCTTTAAAGCCCCACGTGGCATGGGACCAGGTTATCTGAGGGACCATCTCCTTCTGATCACATCTACCCGTCCCATCAGGTTGAGCAGGAAGAATATGCTGCAGATCCCGTCTACTACAGAGTCCCATTTAGCAGGACCCAGACAGTGTGCTTTTTCTGCTGTGGCCCCCACCCTCTGGAATATCATTCCCCCTGAGGTGAGGTCAGCCCCATCTCTGTTAGCCTCCTGGAAATCCCTGAAAACATGTTTTTTTCCAGCCACCTCGGGGATCCCATGGTGAACCTGCAAGGTGGCTGTGTGATGTCAAGTGATGGAGGTTCTCCCACAATCTTGGGTTATTTATGTTCTTATGGGTTTTTTTTTTCATTCATGTTTGAGAGTTCTATGGTTTTTAATGTTATTAAGTTTTGTATGCCGCTCAGACTCATGTTTCGTGAGATGGTCAGCTATATAAATCAGATGGATGGATCCAGCAAAGATCTAATAGAAAAAAGATAGAAAGTTCTACTGTTGTCCTGAAGACTCTCTTAACAGAAGATAATCTATTTATTATTCTGAAGAGAGGCTACTGAGTTCATTTTTGCAGATAGTTATTTATGAAAGGTAGAGTTAAGTTTGCTGCTAGCTTCTACGACAATTTATGTCTGTCCCTACTGTCTTTCTGCCTCTTCCCACAAAGGATGCACAATCTATAATCCAAATCAGGAGAGCTAATTAAGGAAGGGAGGAAACTAAAGGCAAATGAAGATGAACTTGTTTTTATTCACATAGCACAATTTCTAGCAACACGTCAGGAACAGAATTAGTCTCAGCACTAAGTTTCCAGCTTAGGCTTTTAATCCATCTCTTTCTCACCACTGGAAAAATCCTACCACCAGTTTTGACTCTCTTACTCCACAATCTCTTTCACTCCATCTGTTTTCCTCTGTTTCAGAATAGGACCTTCTTCTCAAAGCAATTTTCTCATCTCGGGTATCAGCTGCCAAGGGTCCCATTTGCGCCTAACTATGAACCCCCATGGGTAATCTGGGGACACCTAGCCTACCTCACAGGGTTGTTATGAAGGCTGGGTACATCAGCTGAAATCCTTGGATGGCCAGGCGGGCAAGGGGGGAGCAGGGATTAAAGTATATGCACATAAGTGAGCAAACAGTGTGGAAACCTAACTGATGATGCAGGGACCGTAAATGAGAATATCTATGCAGAGAAATCTATGCACCCTGTTATTTGAAAGAGAGGCAGGTCCCACCTGTTATAACCTGTTTCCTTGGGTGATGCGCGCAGGATGTTCCAGCTGATGGAACCAGCTGCACGAGAAAGAATTTATTTTCCAATCTCCCAGACCTCATAAAACACAGGCAGGCAAACCCACAAGCCCTCAACTGACCACTCTGGTTGAGGCAGATGGGAACTAAAGTCCAAAGCGTTGGAGGAAAGCATAATGTTCGCCCTCGGAAAGATGCTCGACTCCTGGTGACCACGTGGACAGACTCCACGTAATTGTCTTGGCAAGAAGACCGAGGTATTCTTCGTGCAAGATTTTAAAGGTACGGCCCTGGAGGTTTCCTTGTGGTCTCCCATCCAAGTACTAACAGTGGGCTAAAATACATGGCACAAGATGGGTTTCTCTGTTTGAACCCCCAATTCAGTCCCCTTTGTGGGGGAGGAATTGGAGAAAAGATTAAGAGAAGTAGAGAGTACGTTACAAGACCGAGGGAGAACCAACAGAACAATATTTCGATCACAGGTTGCTGATCCGAACATTGCAAAAGTTAAACGTGTTCACCGCATTCCCCTCTACACAGTGACATGCCTTAGGTTAAAATCAGAAAATCAATAAAGAGCGTGACAGGCCACCCAAGGTCTGCACAAAACTTCTCAGAAAGCCTTCAAAATGCTTCGTAATTGAGATATTTTTGGTCCCTTGGCTTTTCAGAAACTGCCAAGTCAGAAGAAAGAAGAGGAAAGAAGGTATGAGTCATATTATCTAGACCAGTATTTCTCAGCCTTGGTGGCTTTAAGATGTGTGGACTTCAATTCCCAGAATTCCCCAGCCAGCCATGCTGGCTGGGGAACTCTGGGAGTTGAAGTCCACACATCTTCAAGCGGCCATGGTTGAGAAACGCTGGATTAAGCTAACCAGCCTTGGTGGTTTGGTGGTTTATCAGCCTTGGTGGCTTTAAGATGTGTGGACCTTGGTGGCTTGGTGGTTTCTCAGCCTTGGTGGCTTTCAGATGTGTGGACTTCAACTCCCAGAATTCCCCAGCCAGCCATGCTGGCTGAGGAATTCTGG